AAAAGTTGTACATGTGGCTAGTTGTACCCTCATCATAATTGTAAACATTGTTAATTATCTAATAAAAAGCCCCCGGCTATAGAGGTCACCTTAAAAAAAAAAAAAAAAAAAAAAAAAGTGGCGTATTTGGTTTAATAAAAAATTATTATGAAGTTGTTAAATATAAAGATTGTGATACTCCTCATTGTTATTTGCTTGTATGGCTTAGTGGTTTACTAGATCTGATTGAGTTATGGGAAAAGTTCAAAGTTGATGATAACTTTGGTCAACATTTGTTATCATATGTTAGTGATATTGTATAAAAAGATATCAGTTATCTTCTCATTAAGGATGAAATTTTAACTGATAAAATGCTCGAAGCTGAATATAGGGTTCCTAAAATGATTAAAAAATGATGTATGCATCTATCCTTTATGCCTATTCCAAATTCTAACTTGCCAGATTTTGATGAGAAATTTTGTTTAGATTTGCTTTCAATTGTTAAACGTACATTGTTTTATTATTGTAATAAATCATGTACAAAATATAATTGAGGTCTGAGTCATGGTTGTAGGTTTGATTTTTTAAGAGAATTAATTAGTCTGTCTAGGATGATTAATCCTGAATAAGGAATTATAACTGTTCAACATTCCAATGTATTTATTAATAATCACAACCCATATATTACTTCTGCTTGTTGAAGTAATAATAATATCAAATTTATTTCGAGCAAAAAATTTGTATTGTCCTATATATATTATATTACTGTTTATATTACCAAAACTGATATCAACACTTATAACTTGTTTTTAATATATGCTATTATATTAAAAAATTTTATTAAAAATATATCTAACGAATTTTCACTTAATGTAATAGATAAGTCTTATAAACTCATTTCAAAGTGCTTAAATAAAATATTTAGCTAAACTAAACTTACTAGTCCTTAAGTTTCTGCATATTTACTGGGAATTAATAATCGTTATAAATTTAATAATATTTATTTGTGCTCATTTGAATATTATCTTACCAAAGAGTGGTACTATTTTAATAAAAATTCTGAAGATAGTGATTGTAGTAAAATGACTTCAGACTATGATCAGAGTGATAAACAGAAATTTTTGGAAACTTTCTTAATAATGGTAATTTAACAACTGCCAATCTTCGAGTTGACTATCAATTTCATGGACCATTATTACAAAATATGTGTTTATATTATTATACTTCTACTTTACAAAAAATTTTATTTAACTCAATATGTTAGAAAATTAATTATTAAGAGAAGGCAGCGAGTGTGTTGATTGCTTTTTGTTTCAAGAGTATGAAAATAATAACAACCAAAGTCATTCGCAAAGTAAAACACATATTCAGATGCATAGAAAACAAGGCACAGAAAGAATAGTTATATTAAGTAATAAAAGAATTCCAAGACAAAATGATATAAAAAATACAGAGCAATATGGGTTATGCATTTTTATGCTTTTTAAACCATGAAAGAGTGTTCATGATCTATGAGGCCAACATGATTCATAGCCAAATATATGTCAGGGCTTCTTGAGCAATCTCTTCTTAATACTACATTTGTGACATGTTATTAATAATATTATTTTAATATATCATTGTTCTGATATAACAGAATTAGAGTATGAATTGTGGCAAAAGGTAACGAGTAACCCGACAAACAGTATATTTAACTTTAGTACAATAGAATTGGGTTCTGATAAAGAAAAATTTATAACTGATAATGAAATTAACCAAAATTTGACTACTAATGAAGAAACAATTATAAATATTCAAGCAGTCAAGGGCTATCACCTCTAGCAATTGCAAATGTTGTTCAAAATGAAGCTAAGAAAGTGTGCGAAAATTTAGGTGTAGAATATCTCAAGATACAGGATGTTACAAACATTAAATTTAAATTTGTGGGCCTAATGAATTCACACCTTATTGGTGAATCTAGTATAAAAGCTGATATTATTGAAACAGTAAAATTCTTAACTGAAAAAAACTATCAAGTAGAATGATTTTTTGTTCAAAAATCTTACTATGGGTTTTGCTTTGCAAATTCAGAACAATTAGAAAGTCTAATGTGACATGGTTGGCTAACTCTTATTGACTCAACATATAAGACTAATAGGTATAGTTGGTGATTATTTACATTATATGTTCGTGATGGCTGTGGTTGTTGGAATATAGGTGCACATTTTTATGTTAGTAATAAGAATAGTGAAACTGTAATGTCAGCATTAAAAATTATTCGAAAGTTCGCCTCCCATTGGAACCCACGATACATGCTTCTTGACCAAAATAGTGTAAAAGCTAATGGTATTGAGGCAGCCTTTCCAGGTTCTCAAGCTGGAGAGCAAAAGTATAGTATCCTTCTTTGCATGGTTTATATTATATGCACATAGATAAAAAATATATATCATAGATTAACACTTGACCAAATGACCCACGCAATGCATAAAAGAACCAAGGCCGGATGTGAACGTGTAATCCAAGATGCTATCCCTTAAACTGTAGACAATTCCAGGCAAATTTGCCTAGAAAATTGCTATAAATTTGTTTATGATTTACTTTTT